ATACCTATGATGAAAATTACAGGCCTCTCTCATCTTTTTAAGTGGGAGAACTTGCACAATTGGTGGCTGACTAAATACTTTTTTGCCCCACTGTAAAAATTATAAGTTGCCAGTTACATTCATGATTTCTAGTCCAATATGATGTATTTTAGAAAGTGACTTAATGCCTAAGGGGAAATAAAAATAAATGAAATGCCTGATGCCTCAAAGGAAAATAGTATCAGATAAATGTTTCTGCAAACTAATTCTGCATATGGAATGCCACCACAGAAAAGGCCCTGTCTGTCCATTATTGCTGCTTGTCTCAGCCATGAAGAAAGGGTCACTTGCCTTAAACATCGGCTTCTGAAAACAGGCAGGTCTGTATAACATGAAGGCAAGGCAGCGGCTGCATTGTTTTATTGGAATGATGGGATATTTGGAAAATACCAGAACTGTGAATTATGGGTGTAACCGAAATAAAATCAGAGCAGAAGTGGTGCTGCATAGTTATGCTAGTCTCGAAGAAGGATGAATGTCAAAGGAAATGTAATGGATGCTGCAGACTCATTTACTTTTATAGTTTTCCTTCCTTTCTCTTGTGCCCTTTGAGTTAAGCCTTTCCCTTGCTTTTTGTTGAGGGGGGAAGAAGCGTTGCAACAAAAGCAATCTGGAATAAGACAGGATTTCAGATGAAGACTGGAAGTCTGAAGTCATGATTAAAACAAACCGTGGTGGTTTTTGCTTAAAAATAAGACAGCATTTGCTGCTTAGAGTATGGTTTTCATGAGCATTTAAACCCCATCAGATTAAACAAATCCTAAATCCTTGTTTTGCATTATGTACAAATCACCTCCACTGTAGGAGTATTGGTAGAGGAACTACAATTACTGTAGTTTGTAGTACTGAATACTGTAGAGGAACTGAACAGAAAAGAAAAACTGTACCTTTAAACTTGGCTGATGACCACCTGGTTGTTGACATGAAGTTGGAATTTAAGAACCTAACAGGGATTCTATTTGTGGGATAATCTGGACAGAGACACAATTCCATTTTGTTGTTTTTATATTGGAATTTGGCTTCATCTTGTTGTGGCTCACTGATGGGAAAATGTTTTGGTTTTCCATGGGGAATATCTGCTTTCAGCAGAGCTATAGGAGATTGACATGCATAATTTATGTTTCTAGGTTGAGGAGAGAAATAAAAAGAAGCTTGCATGACTGCTCTTATTGAATGGTCTTCTCTTTCTCTTTGAAGGACTATTAAAATTTTAATAAATACAGTGAGGCATAAATGGCAGTGTGTTACTACTTTAAACCAAGAGAATCATTTGTTTGTGTCATAAATTTGAAATGTGTTCATTTCCCATTTCTTTGCTAGAAAAAAAATAATCCTTTTATTTTTCTAGTCAGCTTTCAGGCACCTTCCATGCCTCACAGAACTCACTGCTAAACTTAATCTCAAGGATTTTTTAAAGAGTTTGACTATGAGAATCCATGCATGTTTTGACTGTTTCCATCATCTAATTGCAGATCTAATTTTTAATGATTAGTCTATTGGGCACAGGTTCATTAATAATGCCCCATGATCTTGGTGAGGGTTCCTGTCTCCTGAATTGCTTTCAGAAGGAGGAAAGATGACAAAGGGGGAGGAATCCACTTCAAGTGCTGCAGGAGCAAGAATTAGGTTAAGGTGGAAGATCTGAAGCTTGAGGGCTGTAGGCAGCCCTGTTTTGCATCCACACAACCTTCTGGTTGCAGTTGCTGAAAATTAGTGAGGCACTTCCTCAACATTTTGAGATACGATATAATTTACATCCTCAGATAACCCACAAAATAGGTTTAAAACATTTTTAAAACAAAAGAGACCTCTCTTAACTCACCTCCAAACCCCACAAGAAAGAATAATAATCTAGCCTACATGTAAGATGCAGCCCTGCCCACTTTGGCTCCTCAAAAAAGAATATGCGCTGCTTCTGGCCTCCAAAAGTGGCCCACCTCTGGATTAGATGAAAACAAGGCTCAGTGTCTAAATGATACAACAAAGCAATTTAAAATATTGGCCATAGCCAGGAGTATGTGTGGGACCACATGGCCCTGATTTCAGGTCACACAATGCTGTGGTCCCAGACTGGTGTGAAAGATACTAATGGAAATCTGAAATGAAGGGGAAAGTGGTTCATCATGGTGAGCTGTAGTTTCTTAAGCTGTGGCTTGTTAACTATGCTATTCACTAGGTCTGTACATTGTAATAAGTCATACAGTCACAATTTACCAACCGCACTGCCTATACTGTACACCCATAACAAGCTCAGCCCGAACCAAACAGATCACAATATGTCTTAGTGAAGACACAATTGGCATGTGAAGACTACCTCACTTTGCTTAGGAGGGAGCTCCTGAAATGCTTGATTCCTCTAGGAGCTGCTTGAAGGAGTAAACTTGTTCCCTCTTCTGTTAGGGAGTCAGCAATGTCTTATGCTGTAAGCAAACACTGAACCGTGTCTGGACAGGAGAACGAGAAAGAAAGAACATTCTCATCAAACTATAAAACAGTACTAGATCATGTTCAGCTAGTGAAAGATGAAAGAGGTTTGCATAAGCAATATTACCCATATTGTAAAGGGCTAGACTTTACATATAAGACTATTCAGTTAAACCTTTAGGATGCAAGGATCAATAAGAGCATCTGACATTGAAAGGACTTTTAGAATTTTAAAAAGTGTGAGATAGCTAATACAAATGAAATAAAGCAAGCCCTGGCAAGGTTGCTTAAAATTAGTTTCAACAACTTTATCAGAATTTCTTTCATGCATTGTGATTAATATAATGAGCAGGTATGCCTGAGGAACTCCACCAACTAGCCTGATTATGTACTGAAACACAAATATTTTTCAAATATTGTACTTTTCCTAGCTTTGCAAAGCTTTGCAAATCAAAGAAACACCAAGATGTATTTTAGAGTAAAAACTGTTTTAAAATGTATTTATAGTGAGAAATGTATTCAAAATTAAACACATGTTTGTATGAATTAACATATATACATGTTAACATGGAACAATGGGTAGAATGGCCTCTAAAATGAACAAATACAAAACATGGAGTTCAGAAATGGATAGAGGCATTCATGACTGTTGGGTTTTGAGACAGACTTAAACAGTGTTTAAGATCGTAAAAAAGACATGTTATTGCATTCCGTTTTTCAGAATCCCAGCTTTTATGAGATCCTACAGCAAACAGCTGCTGCTTCAATCAGTTGTGTCTTGATGAAATAGCAGAAACAACATCCAAACACGTGACGGGAGCTTCCTATGCGTTCTCAGGATCTGATAGAAAACTCAGTGCTAAATATCACTTTAGATTTCCCCCCCTTAGAGAGCATCTAGGTACATTCCTCAGCAAGGTTGTGGAAGGTTATGTAAGACTCTCCCACCTTTGCTTGGCTGCTTTTACTGATAAGTGGCCTAAGTGGTATTCTGTGGTGGGTTTTTTTCCCCCCTTTTACTAAATAGTGCACCCAAAAGCTTCTCTAAACATGTATGTTTGCAAGATATATTTCTGGCTTTGTATATGTGTACTCGTCTATGTTTTTACTCTTCTACTGTTAACTAACTCTGTAGAATTGTTTATAGATATTGGCTAACAGTTTCTCTCTGTCAGTCAAGCTGGCAGCTGGCTTTCTCTCTGGTTGGCAAAACCTCTTATCTTCTGTCATCTTCAATTCCTGTGGGATCTTCTGCAAAGGATACTGTAGACTTTCTCCCACAGTTCAGCCACCTCTTTGTCTTCAGCACAGTGTACCAGTTCATGCCCTGCTTTGTTTCAGTTGCCTTCCGCTACCCCAGAAACAAAATAAAGCTTCATAGTCTGTTGCATAGTCTGTTGTAGGATTACCAGCCATCTATGTATTTTCCTAAAATGAATAGCTAATCAACTGCCAGAACTGTCTATATCCATCTTAGATGCCAGCCTTTGCACACCTTCATCCAGTTCACTTTCCTCAGTTCCCAGAGTTCTCTGATAATGTAAGACCGCACCTCTGATGCTACATCACAACCCTTCTTTCTCCTACAGGAATGTTTTCCTAGTCTCAGCTTCTCTTGTCAGTTAGTTAGCACAAAGCATTTGTCTGGGTTTCCAAGTAGATAATGTGAGCAGCTAGCAAGAAGTCATGGCTGAATGCAGGTTGTCACAAACAATTGCCAATAGTGTTGCAAGCTCAAACTTGCCCAAGAGTGTAGTAACCATAAATTCTCCTATTCCTCCACTCTGGAAATGAAACTGATTTTCCTATGCTATTAGCTGAATATTGCACAATACAAAACAGAACAAAACAAAAATTCGTAACAGAAGTAAGGCTGCAAGAAGTAGCTTGTGTAGCATCATCATGAAAAATGGTCAAACCATGCTATCAGTTTCTCTGCTGCACAAGATTCTGAAGACTATTCAGACTGTATGTCAGAGAGACTGAGTCCGGTTATACTGTGTGGGTACGATAGCCTGGCTACTGCAAAGGCGTATTCAGCAGCAGACAAAGGTGTGCATGTGTGTGTTGTGGGGTGCAGAATCCATAGTGTTATGTAAGGATACATTTATGTGATATGCCATGTTTATCTTTCCAACAGAGGCCTGAGGATGAGGCGGTTGTTGATTTGGGAGGCACTAGCAATGTTATTAACATTCATTATGAACCAGAGGAGCTGGAAGGTGAGACAATTATTTCCTAGTGCTTTTATTTCTTCCTCCATTTTTCTGTTATACCTTGGAGTTATTATTAAATATCTGGGAATGGCACTAAATGTGTTTTCTATTTGAAAGTACCCACATGTAGTGAAACGTATTTTATGTAACATATAACCAAAACATCCTGTATTGTGCCTGAAATTTTTTTTAAAAAAAAACATTAAAATTATTACCAAGAAATAGAAAAATCTATTTTTAGAATGTTGATTTGTTTTCATTTTTAAAATAGTAATTCCTTATTTATGCCATGTGTAACAGTTATAGGGGTCTTGAGGCAAAAGAAATTCACAGTAGATTTTTTCAGATTGAAAGAGCATTATCTGCCAAATATTATGTCTGTGTGTTATAAAAGTATATAACAGTTGCTGGGTGATATCATTCATTGGAACAGGGTCAGTTCTCATCAGTAAGCTGATGATATTCAACTATGTACAGTACTGTGCAAAAGTTTTAGGCAGGTGTGAAAAAATGCTGTAAAGTAAGAAT